ATAAACAGCTTCATAAATATAGAACTGATTAATTATCTAGGAAGGGAAGACAGTTGTTGGTAAATTTCTGAACTGTTAAGCAGACACTTGCTTAACATTGCTCTGGAAAATTATATTAACCAAAATTATTAAATGCCTCCTCTATTGATATATAATGCATAATTACTTTTTACATTCAGTCATTGTGAGTTCTGATTACCAAGGGAGTTTGAATGGGTCTTGAACAGGGACCCATTCAAGTTTGCTTGACACCTTGATTTCTACTATCAAGTATAGTATATTTGACCCTGATTGTTAAGGATTTTGAAACTTAGGGGAAAAAAATCAGTTTGTAGTAGTTATTGTATCAGGTTTTGTAGATAAACATGAGTTTGACTTTTCACAAAACAGTATAAACACTGTATATTTATCTAGTCATGTATTTTATTTGTATTTAATCTATAAAGATCAAGAGTTTCTTTTGATGTATCATGTGAATTTGGAGGGAACGAGGAAATTGAAAAATATTTTAAATGTAAAACATGCCATTAATTTTATTATTCTTATTTTGGGATCTAACTTATCAAAAGGCAAAATTGATGAGTTCAGATGAACTGAAGTGATGGTATCCAAAGGTAAGAAATAACTCCAGGTAATATTTGAATGTACAGTAACATGGATTGTTAAAATTATCCATTAATACGTATTTAAGAGGTTTCTTTCCCTAATTTAAAATATTAAGGTCACTAAATACATCAAAGGTGTCATGTTAAAGTAGTTAGATGTTTCAGTTCATATATATAAAGCATAGAGAGCCAAATTAGGTTATCTTGTATGATCATTAAGATTTCATTCCATAGTCCAACATGAGTTCTCACAGAATTTTTCTCCTCACTAACCAACATATGCTCACATACAGTAAGAGTTTTATATAACCTGCTTCTAAATTATCACATAAAAATAATTATTAAATCTAACACATTAGTCTTTATGTAATTAACTTTACAAGGTAATCAAGCACAGATTAGTTCAGCTGTTTCTTTGTTTTTTTTCCTTAAGTATAGTTTTTCCATGAAGGAAGCAGTATACTAATTAATATTATCATACAAACTCCTTGATCTTGCTCACAGCTCCATAATGTTTTCCTAGTATTGCAGCTGTTGATGGAATCCTCCAGAACAGGATAACTACACAGAGCTTAAACTCCAAGTCAGATCCATTGAAAGTGTAATTAATACTTCATGATTTCATACAGTGCAAATCAAGTCTAGAATACTTAGCTTCAAAAACTGCTGTTGAGAAATCTACTGGTATACTGATTCTGATCCTTTAAAAAAAAAAAAGCAGTTATTTTTATTGAGATATAATTGACACAGAACACTTTGTAAGGGCTTAAAGTTTATAATCTGTTGACTTCATAAAGTTAATATTGCAAGATGATCGCTATCATGCATTAATTAAAACCTCTATCATATCACATGGTTATCATTTTTGTGGTGGGAACAATTAAGATTATGGTATCTTAGTAACTTTGAAGTTTAAAATACAGTGTTATCAGCAATCACTATGCTTTGCATTAGGTCTTCGAGACTTTTTTTATATACTGGTTACAAATTTGTACCAATTTGTCCCCAATTCCACTACCCTATCGCCCTGGTAATCACCATTCTGTTTTCTGTTTTTACAAGTTTGCTGTTTCAAATTCCAGATGTAAGTGATAGCATACAGTTTTGTTTTTTTTTTTTTCCTTTCTCTGACATGACTTATTTAGTAATGCCTTCAAGGGTCATATGTTACAGAATTTCTTTCTCTTTCATGACTGAGTAATATTGATCCTTCCTAAATGGCCCATTACATATCCCTACTGGAAGCTTGTACAACCTTTGGTTTAGCTCTACCTTTTTTTTTTAATTTTTAAAAAAATATTTATTTATGCACACAGAACTGGGGTACAGGCCAGAGGTGCAGGGACAGTGAGAAGATTCACCAGAGACAGAGTGGGAAGCAGAACAGGCTGACTGACAAAGTACATTAGTGAGGGGAACTGTAGGGGTCAGGAGAGGTCTGCTGTGCCATTTTTATCACCTCCGGGGCAGGGATGGAACTCATGCTGAAGTGGCTTTAGTTTCTTAGTGCTGTGCTTTAAACCCCTGAGCCACCAGGTAGAACCCAGTTTAGCTCTACTTTTAAAAATAATATTTTGTCTTGATGTGAGTCTATTGTCATTCATTTGTGATGGTAACTCATTAGACACTTTCAATTTTACAAATCCTGTGCTTCAACTTGGAAAGTTTATTTTATTTTATAAATTTCCTTCCTTTTTTCCTTTCTAGAATTTCTGATTATTTGTAAATTGGACTTCATGGACTGGTTCCCTAATTTTCTTCCTTTCGTTTCATGTATCTCTTACTTTATTTAATGTCTCTTTACTTATTCTTCAGTGTATGTCTCTTCAACATTATCTTCTAGCTAGACACGTCTCCCACAAGTATTTCATACCTTTTATTTTCCACTCTTGGGGGATTTTGTTATATAAAATCTAAATGGTTCTCAGCTTTCTTCACTGTCAGCTTCTGATTTGGCTTTTTTGGATTCTTCTAATTAGTTTCTTCACTTACTTTAGTTTCCAAACTTAACGCTATCTTCTCTCCTGTTTTTAAATTTCCGAGCTTGTGTCTTAAAGGGGAAACTCCTTTTCCCTTTATTATAGTAGGGTTTTAGGAGGAAAGTGAAGTTTGATATACATGTTCAGTGCTCTGTTTGAAAAACACTCAGTTTTTTTTTTAATATAATAGTTTATTTTTACATAACTTTGTGCATTTTCCCATCATAGTTGTAATCCCTGTGGGCTTCCCATCACCAGATCACCTTGTGCCATCACCATAGTCCAGTGCACTTTCCCTTCCCCGCCATTTTTGATCCCATTCCCCGTTCCACACCCATAAAATGTCTCTGGTATATAGTTGTTCATTATTATTGTTATTTTCTCCCCTGGTCCTTTATACTCCCGTTATGAGTGAAACCATCTGGTATTTTTCATTTTCTTTTTATTTCACTAAGCATGATACCTTCCAGCTCCATCCATGTTGCTGCAAAAGGCATGTGTTTTATCTTTTTTGATTGCTCAGTACTATTCCATTGTGTATATGTATCACCTTTTTATTTTGGGCATTTGGGTTACTTCCATGTCTTTCCTATTGTAAATAAAGCAGCAGTAAACATGGGGGGTGGAGGTGTCTTTTTGAATCAGTTTTTTTGTGTCTTTTGGGTAGATACCTAGGAGTGGGATTGCTGGGTCGTAGGGAAGCTCCATGTTTAGCAGTTTGAGAAGCCTCCAGTTTTCCGTAGTGGTTGTACTAGTTTGCATTCTCACCAGCAGTGCTGGAGTGTTCCTTTTTCTCTACATCCTTGCCAACATTTGTTGTTGCTAGTTGAAAAACAGCTTTTTAATTTCTCTTTTACTACCACTTTATATTCTCATGCTGATTCACATCATTTAAAGGCAAGTGGTCATTATGGTTCATCATCTATTTGGTTTTCTCATACAACACAGTTTCTCTTAGTTTTACATAATTTTTTAAATGTATTTCCTTATCATGGCCATTTGTTTTGAACTCTCCTTCAGGATCTCTCTCTCTCTCTCTTTCTCTCTCTCTCCACACACACACACTCACATATTCTGTACCCTTTTTTGGAGACATCTGGTTTAAAAGAGCCCCCTGACCTCCTTATTAACCCAGCCTATTTCCAAAGTCCATCTGTCCTCAGGACTGTCAGGATGTTACAATGGTATTAAATTGCTGTACTATACTTCTATTTTCTCAGCATGCCTTGTCCTCTCTCTGTTTCTCTTGTACTTTTGTACACATTGTTCCCACTTCATGGATGTCTCATGACTACTGATTTCCTCTCAACATGCGCTTCTTCCTTCCTGACAAACTTAAGTCTTATGATTCTTCATTTAAGTAATTTCTGGTGTTTTCTTTCATCTTGCTTCAGCCTTTCACAAGATAGTTGAGTATCCCCTGCATTTATAGACCTTAGAAGACTGTAACACAATTACTTATTTTATAACAGACTACTTTGGATCATAATTAAAACTAGGAGACAACTCCTTTTCTTTTCCATTGTGTTTTTTTTATTAAAATGTGACATTTTATTAAAATGAGAATTTTATAGGTGGGGAATATATTCTGTCTTTCTGATAATTTACTTTTAAAAAACATAAAATATAATTATTTGGAATGGCAGGGAGAGATCTCACTGCAGATTGAATTTTTTTAGTTAATTGAGAAGAAATTTTTATATTGTACACTTTAAAATACAATAAAGTTGGAGGTTATTTGAAGGAAGAAAGTGAGAAAGTATTTGGTTTAATTAATTCCTTTCATGTCATTCCTTCCTTATAGACTCAAGTCTGTGGTGTTATCCTCAAGCAGTAGATATAGCAGAATCTATTTTGCTCCTGGCTCTCATTAAATTAATACAATATCTGTGAAAGTATCTAATAAACTTATTCTAATCCCACTTTCATTTTTTTGTTACCCTCTATAAGGTCTCAAAATCTTTTGGACATCAACAGACATAGTGAACATTAAGTACAGATCTTCTTAATGTATTTTAAATATAATGAATTACTGGTGCTTTCCTAGAAAGTATATTATAAAGAAGTTTTCCCTTTTTTTTTTTTTTTCAGAAAAATGTTATAATTAGTATTTATTTTCCCAACATACATGTATACATACACATGGAAGAAGTGAATAAATATTAGAGCAGAGAGATGTATTACCTGAAGACAGGAGCTACGTTTCTGAATCTTTATCTTCTACAAATAACTATAGATCCTTGGACAAGTCTTTGAACCTCACTTTCCTCTTCAAATAATGGGATTAAATCTATACAGTTGTTCATGTGTGATGTTATTGTACATGAAAGGTGCCAAGTGTGTATATGAGTTACATTTTATTAGAAATGTGCATAAACAGATTTATCTATATATTAAAATAACTTTGTTTTTACAGGAAAGATGATAAAGACTATGCTTTAAAACAAATAGAAGGAACTGGGATCTCTATGTCAGCATGTAGAGAAATAGCTGTAAGTAAAATCTCTATCGTTATCAACTGACTTTAGAGTGTTTACTATAGTAGGTCTTTAAATGTCTCTGTCATATATATACATTAATTAAAAGTTGATAAATATTACTACCTATAGAAAAATCTATTTTAAAGAAAAATAAAAGTGGCATCTAGATCTAACAAAATTTTTCCTAATTTATTTAGAATTAGATCATTCTTGGTTGTTAATGAATATAGGTTTTTCCAGTAATCACTAAGTAGTTGTCACTTATTTTTATTATGCTAGTTGATATGAAATTAATATTTCTATTTTAATGAGCTAAATGTCAGTACTTATGAATTTAAAAATGGGTAGTGTTATTTCATTTTCATTATATCTATCCATTCATTCGAGCATGTAAAAATTTCTGCCTGTTTCTTTTTGAAGCAGACCTGCCCATACAGTAATTAGAATTTCATTTTGTTTTAAAAAGAAAATATTTCTCATTTTAATGCATTTTTTTTCATCTATAATGATGTTACAGATTTTAATTTGCATTTTCTGTTTATGTTATTGATTTCTTTATTCTTTCTAGCTGTTGGCTTATGAACCACTGATGTTTAGATTTCTGACATAAGTAATTAAAACTATAAATTTCCCTTGAAGTTGTGGTTTACTTGCATTCCACAAGCTTTCTATATTGTATTTTCATTATCATTTAGTACTAAATATTTCCAATTTTATTTGTGATTTTTTTCTTTAATTCATGGATTATTTAGAAATGTTTTGTTTAATTTGTAAGTATGTGAAACTCTTTAGATAACTTTTGTTACTGACTAATTTATTTCCTCAGAGAAAAGAGACTTTATATTTTAGAAATGCATAATGAAATGTTTACACATAAAAGCATATTATGTCTAGAATTTAGTTCAGAATACTCAGGGTGAGGTGGAAGGAAAGTATTTAAGTATAAATAAAATGAGATAGGCTGCCAGTCAATAATGGTATTGAATGTTTGTCTTACTATCCTGTTTATTTTACTTTTTAGAAAAATTCTATAATAAAAATTTATAAAGAAAAAATCCCATCTTTCTTTTGAAACTCTTTCCTTTCTTTTTATTAAACCTTCTCAGAAGCCCTGTGTTCCCACCACTCACCTCCATTATTATCTGTGATCTGCATTACTTTATTTCTTTCATAATACTTGCTAATAGAATTCTAAGGAGTTTTTTTTGGGTTATTGTGTGTGTGTGTGTGTTTTAATTATGTTCTATTTGTTGCCTCTGCCCCCACTAGACTATTATACTATATCTTCACTAGACTGTATGAGGTGTTATACATGACACTCTTTGTTCAGTAAATAATAAAAAAAGAAAGGGAGGAAGGAACAACTCTGAATTTCTGCTGAAGTTAGGGACATTTGTTGTATATCTTCATGTTCATTGTATCATAAATGTTTAGTTTTATGTTTCCAGAATTTTCTGTGCAGTGGAATCCTTTTAGTTTAATGGTTTTACACTGTTTCAGTGGACCATCAATATTCCAAGAGACCCCTTTGTAGTTGAGATAGGGGAACAAAGGAAGCAGTGATAAAGCTTCAGTCAAACCTTTTACAGCTCACACTTCTTTAAAGTAGGAACCTCAGTGTTGTAATTAATTTGCAAGAATCCTATTGAAGAAAAAGTTATACAACCTAAAAAAAAACAACTTTGGAATAATTTTCCTTTGGAATAATTTCAGCACAATTAGCATCATATTTACAGTAAAAGTTGGATTTATCTTTGCTATGCAATAACATTTTAATAATAGAAATCAGTGTCACTTTGAGAATATTAGAGATTTTCTTACTTTTTTCTCACGACCCTAAGTGGTATTTATTGACAAGTTATAGTTTTAAATATTATTTTTATTTGTGCTTTAAGAGTTCAGATTAAGTATGAATTAAATGTATGATAAATGATGACTAAAACTTCTGTATTTTTATTAGTGACCTTAGTACTCAAGAAATCATAGGACTTTATTTCTTATGTGATTAGATAAACCCAAATGATTTCTGTGATAGGAAGCAGTATAGACTTATTTAAACCTATCCTTCTAAAAATTTTAACATAAAATCCTGAAAAAGATGAAACTTATAAAATATAAGAAATAGGCATCTGCATTCTATGGACATGAATGGGTCAATGAAATACTAACACTTTATTGATTAGAATGTGAACTGGCATCTACTGTAGTATTAGAACACAATCTCACAGTGTTATAATTAGTGACTGAGACTCTAACCAGATTACCTGAGCTCTTGACTTTACCACTTAACCGGCTTTAGGATCCCAAGCAAGTTTCCTACTTTTCCTGTATTTTTGTTTCCTTATTTGTAAAATGGAAATGATATTATACTATATGATTATTTTGGTAGCTTAGAATACATACTAAAAACTGTAAAAATGGTAGCTACTCCAGTAAGTGTCAGTTACCACTAATGTAGCCACAGCATTAGAGTTGTCTGCTTACTAACATTTGTCTCCTACTAAAGGACTTTAGCAGAAGAACATTTTGTATCCCAGGAGCTAGTGAAGCATCCATCACAGTGCCTGACTTGTAGTAGGCATTTGGAAATGTTAGCCTGCCTGATCTTTTGGAAGTATTTCAGTATAAATATTTACCTAGAGGTAAATACCCACTGAGACTTTCATTCTGTCTCCAGTCCCACAGTGAACCATCTCTTGATAGAGCTGGCTTCTAAATAGAGTGATTTTACAAGCTCAGTGTAATAATTATTTACTTTATGAACTTTCCAAGACTACCTTACAGAATACTATAGACTGAGTAGCTTGAACAACAGAAATCAACTTTTTCGTGGAGACCATAAGTCTAAGATCAAGGCATCTGCAGGGTTGGTATCCTCTGAGATATCTCCATGACTTACAGGTGTCCACCTATTCACTTGTTTTTTCCTCTATGCAGCACCCTTCATGTTTTTATTTTTAATCTTCACTTCTTACAGTCACCATTCTCTTAGTGATCTCAGTTTACCTTATTTGCCTTTTAAAAAACCTTATCTATAAATATAAATAGTTAGATTTTGAGGTACTAGAAGTTAATCTAACTAGAGGTTAGATACTTACCACAATAATAGTTCTTATTATAAAAGTCATTACTCTTGATTTTTTCTTACTAATTCAATGAATTTTTAAAAGAAATTCATTGATATTAAATTAATAGAATTTTTTTTTAAAGAAGAGGAATTTTTATGGTAAGAGCAGTGGTCTTATCAGATAACATCAGATATTACATCAGAAGCCATGGAGTGTGTTATATAATACCCTTTAATATATTTGTGTATTCTGTTTATCCATGAATCCATTTTTTAATATATTCACCAGATAATTTTTTAAATTGAGGTATTTGGATACTCTCATCAGCTATTACCACTGTAGTATACCCAACACCAACTCATCCATAGTCTATCACCATAGTCCATTGTGCCTCCTTCCTTCTTTGTTCTTACTCCTCACCAGATAGTTAATTTGAGTGCCTACCAGGTTGGCTAGAAAATAACTGTTGTTGTAAGCAAGATGCAGTTCATAGCCTAGCATATGTTTAAAATATCTGTGCCGTTGAATTGTAAAAGTTTCCCCCAGGGTATTAGATTTTGATAAGTATCAGTACTATACTACAGAGTACTGGTTTTGTATTTTAGAATTAATTAATTTTAAAGGCATTTAAATACAGATTCTAACCACTTCCTAAGATTGTAACCTTGAGCAAATAATTTAATCCCCTTCAACCTCCATTTGCTCATTTAAAATGGAATAATATAAATACTGCATGGGGTATTTCATGTTTCATGTAAATGCATGTCCTATGCTATGCATCATAGTTGGCTCCTGTTTAGAAAGAATTTAATAAAATGGTTGCTGCTGTTTCCTTTTTAGTAAGGAACTAGACCTTTTCTTGGAGGTGAAATTGAGTAGATAGCTTTACATGTAGGTTTTTAATAACTGAAGAGGACTTTAAGCCATAGCTTTGGAGTTTGTTTGTTATAATTTCTACCATGGCAGTTTCCAGAAAGGATTTGAAATAGCTGCCTAGCTGAGAAGTGTTTTCCAATTGTGAGGTAATGGAAAAATCACTGACCCAGAATGATGATGAACTAAGAGTTAAGTTTAGCTCTTCTGGCCAGTTGGATGATTTAGAGAGACACCAAAGTCTATCAGATTCTTTATTATGTTTATTAACTAGAAAATGGTCATTTTAGATATTGGCCTATAGGTTCTGAGATTATATATAATCTCTCTGGTCTCACAAATTTGAAATTATATTTAAAAGCAGAAATTTGAATTTAATCTTGATCGTGAATAAAATAATCACTTTCAGAGTATAAGCCTAAATGATTTAATATATAGGCCTTTCATAGTTTTTTCTTTGCTGAATTTATTTCAAAGCTCCTAATGTAGTATTAACATTACATTTATACTGATTCTTGTTTTGATGGCAGTGTCTTTATTAAAGGTCATGAAGTCTTAAGTTCTAAGATCTTGATTTTCTCACATGCCTGTCATATATTTGGAACACATTTGGAAGGCACCATGTAAGTCAGTTTTAACTGATAAAGATATAATATCAGGTTTCATGAGTTTTATTGATCATTTTTGCTACTATTTTTATTTTCCCATGGTGGAGTGGGACTGCTTTTTAACTGATGGATTGTTAGAGCCATTGTGGTTATTAAATGTGGGTAAAATAAGGAGATAGAAGATTTTAAGTGGAAGAATGTTATTGTAGAGGAAGAGGAAGGTTAAACTCATAAAAATGTGCTCTTTTTGGCTGCTTCTAGCTATATAAGTGCTCTATTATTTTATTAAAAATCTTAGTTTTATTTAACTTCATTATTTAAGTACCTGAAAAAATAGATACTGTATCTTATAGAATTATAGATTTTAATTCTCATCTGATATTGCTGTAGATAAATATTATATTGTTGCCATTAGTTATTTTTTTAAAGATTTATTTATTTATGCTTACAGAACTGTGGTACAGGCGAGAGGTGTGGTAGGTGAGAGGATTCACCAGAGACAGAGTGGGGAGCAGAACAGGCAGATTGACAAAGTACACTGCTGAGGGGAGCAGCGGGTGGGTCCGAAGATGTCTGCCGTGCCATGTGGGTCAGCTCCCTGGCCAGGGATCCATCTCATGCTGCAGTGGCTTCTGAGAACTTCTTAATGCGGTGCTTTAACCCATTGCGCCACCAGGGAGAGCCCCCAACCCATTAGTTTTTTTAAAAGAATTACAAGGTACACATTTGTTTTAAGCTCAAATATTTTGTATTATCAAAACTTAGACAACCAACAGAATGGGAGAAAATATTTGTAGTCCATACTTATGGAGTATAGACTATAATGTAGAATATGAAAAGAACTGCATCTCAACAAAGAAGCGAACCAATTAAAAAATAGGCAAAAGCCTTAATAGACATTTCTCCAGAGATGATATACAGATAATGAATAAGCATATGAAAAGATGCTCAACATCATTAGTCATTAGAGAACTTTCAATCAAAACCAACTAGGATATGGCTGTTATTAGAAAAAAATGGAAGAAAATAAGTGTTGGTGAGGATGTCAAAAAATTAGAACCCTCATGCATTGCTAATAGGAATGTAAAATAGTACAGCTGCTGTGAAAACTATTTTGGTGGTTTCTCAAAAAGCTATATGTAACTATTTTATAATCCAGCACATCTATTCCTATGTATATATGTCAAGCATTGAAAGCAGGAACTCAGTTATCTGTACACCAATGTTCATAGCAATATTCACAGTAGCCAAATAGTGGGAATGATCTGGGTCCAGCAGCAGATGAATGGATAAACAGAAAGAATTGCAATTCTGATACATGTTACAAGGTAGATAAACCTTAAAATCCTAATACTAAGTGAAATAAACCAGATAAATTATATGCATACTTACATCAAGTACTAGTATAGGGGAATTTCAGAGACAGAAAGTAGAATAATAGAAGTTACCTAGAGCTGAAGGGAGAAGGGAACTGGAGAATAATTATTAAATGGGTGCAGTTTCTTTTTAGGACAATGATAGTTTTCTAAAATGGTTAATAGTGATGGTGATGTGACAGTTTGCATATCCTTAAGCCTATCGAATTGTGCACTTAAAACTTGTTAACAATGGTCATTTTTGTTGTATCTAGTTTACCACATTAAAAAGAATTATTACAAAGGAAAATATTAACAACAGCATAGACACATTTCTTCATTTATATCTTCCAATATCTTTACTCAGAGATTTTTTCCTCATTTGTTACTGAAGTACCTTTATGAATATCTCAGAATTGTGTGGGTACTTACTAAACTTTTAGGATTTTTACCATAAGGCTCATACTGCTTTTGAATTACACATGGTAGGTTTTTCAAACATTTTTTATGGCAAAGATTTTTAATGGGTACCCTTTGTTTTGCAGTTACTTCGAGAGCTTAAGCATCCAAATGTCATCTCTCTTCAAAAGGTGTTTCTGTCTCATGCTGATAGGAAAGTATGGCTTCTGTTTGACTATGCGGAACATGACCTCTGGGTAAGGTGAATTCTTGGTAGTCATGGAGTCATTGTTTTCAGTCAGGAGTTAAAGGGGGCTAAAAAAATAACTTAAGGAACTCATCTTACTATGAAATTCACTTTTTCAAAGTGAAGTAGACTTATGGAATATGTTTGATAAAATATCTATGCTAGAGTATTTTGGTAAATTTTTAATCTTTGTTAATGCTACATAAAATGAATTGAAGAATATAATTATTCACTATTATTTCTTAGCAATGGATTTTTTAAATTGAAATGAAGTCTCTTGCAGCCTGAAGCTATAGTTACCTCCTATGTAGAATATTTATATATCATTTTTATATTTTATCATTTTTATCATTTTATATTTTTTGAAAGATTTTTCTGAAGATTATTTTGCTTGCTAAAACTTCGTAAACTAATTGTACTGTATTAATGTAGAAAACTATATTTTTTTTCTTTATTGGATATCATTCACAGTTGATAATTTAGTATCCTAAAGTACTTATTTCCATCAGCAGAAAATCAGTTTAGTGTTGACTTGAATTGGGCATATTCTTGTAGGGGAAGAATTTTTTGTGTGTGAAAGCACTACTACAAAATAAAGTTGACACAAAAATAGATTCTAGTGTCTATTTTAGCTTTTAGTTATTTTGTGTTTATCTGCCCTGTGTTATGAACATTTGTAATTATCCAGACTAGTTAAATACTTGGAGATCCTCAAAATCATATATTTACAGTTTATTAGTTAAGCTAACATTTTTTTAATGCTCTATTTATAAGAGTTAGTATAAACTAAGTTTTTAAATTTGTCTTGACTAAGTAGCAGAAATACAAAAGCTGCCTCAACATTTTGTATTCCCTAAGCGGGTTTTATTTAAGCTGGTATTTGCAGGAGTCTTGGGTAACTATAAAATAACATTTGTTTTTTAAAAATCTGAAATGTCATCTTGGAAACAAAATATAATGAAAACATGCAACAGGATAGCCCAAATCATTTTGAAGCATATGAACCTATGTTTTCGTAAGTCTAGTATGGAGAAACATGTTAACCAGATGACAGTTCAAAATGTAAATATAGAAATAAAAATTGAGTATTATTTGATTCATTACCAAGTTTTTTTTACCACTGTGAAGTAATATTTAATTTCTCTTTCATAAGTAATAGATAGTCTTTTAGCATAGTAAAATTACCTTTTGAAAATGGTAGGATAATTTTCAGCTCTCGCTAATTTCCAGAATTATATAATTTTAACTCCTGTAACAAATTTCAGAAACTTATCTGGGTTTCATATGCTAAGATTTATCAGAAATATTTTCACTCTAAATTTCTATCTTCCGTGTGAGTTGATCCACTTGTTTCTTATGAATTATCTGAAAGGAATTGTTTTAACAAATAATAGACACTTGAAATTTTCCCTTTCTGTTTTATGAAACTGTTGTCTAAGACCCATGCTGATTAGAATGTTTTTCTTTTTAACCCTCTTTTAAAAGATATTAAATCCAGTCAAAGTAAGATTCTATTAATAGAAAATTTGTTAAATCAGGGTAGCCAATATAAAATCATCACTTGTGATACTCAAGCCAAACATGAAATCAAATTATGTGACCCAAATTTAGGCGAAACTGACAGGCTGGTTTAAAAAACAATATTATAAACAGGCTGATTGTAATACATAGTTGAGCATAGGAGATAGTAGTATTCCATTTGATTCCTAAAAACCTAGTTTCTGTTACTTAATTTTATATACAGGTATAGTAATCATGTTTTAACAAGTTATGCTGCATATATTGATAGAATATTGCAGATGCGTGTTCATCACTGGCATTCTCATTTTATCAGTACTCGCTAAAAGCCTAATGAGTACTTTTAATGTTCATTTTAATAAAAGCCAAGTGGTAATGCAACTTACCAAAACTACTCTTTTGACTATTTTATTTTCTTATTTTAATTGGAATATGAAATTAGCTTGGGAAGACTGCAAAGGGTAACAAAAGCAGCTGCAGTCAATAGAGTGATTTTAAAAATCACTTGGATGTTGGTGAAATTTCCATATATTTGCTTTGTATTCCTAGAGTAAAAATAAAGGTAAGAAATTTCTTCACAGCGGTTTTTTTGTAGTAACCATACTATATTAAAAGTAACATGTAATGGTACTAAATATATTAACTGAAGAAGTGTATATGGCATTACTTATCTTAAACATCTATATATTTGTTCATTTCATTCTTAATGTGGTAAAACGATTTATTTTAATATGTTTTTGTTAAGTTCTGAGACTTCTTAAGGTGAACAGTCTTATTTGTCACATTTCTTAGCTCACAAAATATTTTATAATTATGGTGTTTTAGCTTTATTTTGTTTATCTGTTTTTACATACTTCAAAGAAATGACTAAAAAGAAAATTAATGTAAATACTGCTAACATACAGGTTAATTATGCTACATATGTACTTTATGTTCCCACAAGGTAGTCTTTGTTATATATTTTTTCTTTAGAAAATAAAACTCTTTTACTCTTTAATCCTTTAGTTATTCCTTATTCATACAATAGGAAGGAAATGTTAATGTATAATATTAAATATCATAGTCCTATTTTAGTGTTTGTTAATTTCAAGAAGAGAATTAATATTCACTCACGAATATTAGCCAAGAGTCTGCTCTTTTGCATATTCATATTCAGTGGCAGCTTAGATATAGTGCTACACACAGCAGAGATGATTGCAGCTGGCTACTAGATTTTCTTGCAGTTTGGGTGCTTTAATTAAAATGAAGAAAGTTTGAAACATTGAACCTTGTTTCTGTTGAGGTACATTTATTTACAAAGTGATTTTTCTGTTTGTAAAATGGCACTGTGTTTTACCAGATGTCCATTAATGCTATGTATAGGAAACTTTGATATATATGACTGTGTTTTTCTCATCAGAAAGTTAAATTATTTTAAATATTTCCAGTGTGAACCAGTCATTTGTTTACATGTTATTTATTTGTGCATAGGTGTATATTCTGTTTGCTTTATAACCCATGTAATCAAAAATAAGTACCACATCTGTGCTGTGTCAGCCAGACATTTGTTATGTCTTCTTTCCTTTTTCATTAATACTACAGAATAGAATAAAAAAGTTTCTGTTCTTTTTTTTTAAGATTTTTTTATTGAACATTTCTACTAGATAAACAGAGAACCAAGTAGCCTCTGACAGTAATTTTTCTTAAAAAAAAAATCACATTCTCCCCCTCTCCCCATCATTTATTTCCTAAGACACTGTCACTTGCTGAGGAAGTAAAATTTTAGCTCCAGTTACATATTAGGAAATTTGTGTTACTTGGCAAAATGTGAAATTATAGTTTTACTATCTTTGGGAATCTGTTTCTTTTTCTGTTAGGAAATTATTATGCATCAAATTATCTTTCTGTCTTCTCGTTTTAAAGCTACTGCTGATATTTTCCTTTCTTTCAGCATATAATCAAGTTTCATAGAGCTTCTAAAGCAAACAAGAAGCCAGTTCAGTTACCTCGGGGAATGGTGAAGTCACTATTATATCAGATCCTAGATGGGATTCACTACCTGCATGCTAACTGGGTGTTGCACAGGGATTTGGTAAGTTGACTTGTATTACATTTAAGGTAGAAAAGTGCATTTGTAATTGGATGATTTTCTATTTGTCTTTAGATATTAGTACTATATTCACCTTGTAGAAGGAATGCTAATGCTATAGTCTCAAACATAGCTTAGCCTGTGCTTTTTATAGAATGCATCCTACTTTTTGCTATATACTAGCTGGTGTTTAATGAACAGGTAAAAAAGAGAGTATACTTGTTTTCGTAAGCTTTTGTTTCTTTCTAAGTATGTAAATAGAGCATTGTTTTGCTGTGCCAGGCAAACTCTAGAAATTGATAGATTTATGAATAACTTGAAAATAAAGTCCACTGCATACTAAGCTACATATCAGGAGATTTTAATTCATCCTGCTTTTTTTAAACCCCATTATGTTAGTAGCAGTCTCTTGAAAATGTCTTTACTAATTGAGTATATTCTTGAAGCCTTGCTATGTTAAGATCCACTAAATTATTTAGAATTTAGAGACTTAAGATAGTTGATGCTTTTATAAAAACTAGTTTAGCCTTAAATTGCATATTACTAATTAAATTAAAGATTTGAATTATTTAAACCTGAAATTGCCCTTTCTTATTGCATAATTACATTGTGATTCTGTTGTTTTTTTATTGTAAAGGTAGTAGCTATAGTAATCACAATGCTCCTTCCTTTTTTTAAGGTGAAATTGTCATACCCCTCACAAGCTGATTTAGATTTAATGCATTCAATCACCTGATTTTAATGCTTCAAATCAAGTTTCCCAGTGTCATGGTTTCTAGTTCTTTCATCTACCTTTAATAAATCTTGAAATACATTTAATGGTGACTTTTTACTTAAGGTTCTCATACCTAGCATTAAATTTAGTTCTAGTAATATCAGACATTTGTTTGAAGAAAACTGTTTTCCTTATGTAAACTTTATTAATAGAATTAAAACATTTTATTTACGAACAGTGGATTTACAAAACAGAAATAAAATAAATCCTTTAGCTCTTTATGAAATTTTAGTTTTTAAGAATGGCATCAACTTAGGGGAAAATTATTATTACTCTTTAGTGACTGACTTTTTGTGATCTCTGAAAGGACAAAATCTGTGTCCAGAGTGCATTTTTCTCCAGAGTTAATTATGCTAAAATAACATTACATTTTCTTTTTATTGTTAATTTTTCATATTAAATTATTATTTTTAAATAAATACAGACTGGATTTTAAGCTAGCATTTAAGTTTTTATGTTAATATATAATACACTTGAGCCACTTAAATATTAGTAAAAATAATATATGAAGCCTGATTTTTCTCTTTATGGGAAAGTCCTTTCTGTGATTTAAACAAGTCCTCTTTTACAAATATACTTACAGTATACTCTTAAACAAGTTTCCCTTTACATTATGGTAGGTAGAAAAGGTCATTTCAGAATTTGCTGCCTGTAACTCATGTACCAAGAAATGGAGGGTGATGGGAGCAAGTGCCCCCTAAGTGCACAAAGGGCACCAAAAACATAAAAGTTTGAGTCTGTATTGTTAGTTTGTATGGTTAACATATGCTGGCAGTTCTGAATATTAGTGATAAAATATTACTGAGGCATGCTACTCCCACTCTTCAGCCCTTCTTGATATAGTATAACTATTTGTTCAATAGCCCAAAATATTTTCTAAACTGTAAGATATCATTTATCTACTGCAACCTCTTTTGATCTCACCATTTAAAGTGAGATTTCCCATATTGTGTGTGCATGACTTTTTAATGCATCACAGGCACACAGAAGCCCTTGGAACCAGTATGTCATTAACATGACAACTTCTGCCATTAATTGGACATTACTGGTTCAGGAACCTGTGTCTTAAATGATTCATCAGTTCCTGAGGGAAGATTCCTGAACATGGTTTTAAAAAAATATGCCCATTTTACTACCAACTGATTATTAAATTTTGGAGTTTTGAAGTTATGTCATTTTTCAACTATAGCTAAATATTAATATGGGTATTAATATTCTCTGAAGTACAGTTTCAGAAATTATATAATAACATGATCTTCTTAAAACCCTTCTTAAATATCTGTTATTTGCAGATGAAATATTTACCCTATAAAACCAAAAATAATTAATAATTAATTATATTTTCTGTTCCTTTTCAGTCAGGCATAGATAAATTATGGGAATAATAATCTTTATAGATCTACATAGATTTCTAATTTTATGAATTGGACCAGTTGGTTGAGTTACTAACTTGTCCTAAGAAACATCATGCTAAGGTAGATCACTGGCACAGATATCCTAAAAAAGACTGTCTTAATAACATTGAAGCCTTTGTTTAGCAACATTAGACATAATGGTCTGAGATGGTTGCATATGATGTCCAATGATACATGTAGTTGAATTTTAATAATTAGTAAGCTTATTTAATCAAAAGGTTAATTTTGTCACTATAAATCAACACATAGTAGCATATTAGTAACCTGGGATCTGTCATCCCAGGTGAGAAATAATTATACTCATTCTGGAACTCATAGTGTCTTGAAGATGATACATGCATATATATGATATTTTAATTAAAATTGGCAGAAAGGAAACACATGCAGCATTTATTTTTGTGAGATAGTTTATGTCCTAAACCAGACTTTTTAATGCAGACACACACACAACTATGTCTTTGGGGAATGAAATATTTCAACTATCATTCTTCAGTCCTGGTTCTGCCAAAACTATGTATATTAATGAGTGTTCTCCAGAGAACCAGGATATATATATGGAGAGAGGGGAAATGAGATTTAACAACTGCACTTTGATGATTGTGGAAGCTTGCTAAATTCAGAATTTTCAGAACAAACCAGCAAAGTGGAGACCCAAGGTAGAGTTGCAGTCAAGTCCAGAGGCAGTCTACTGGCAAAATTGCTCTTGTTTAGGGGAGTTCAGTTTTTGTTCTAACATGGTGAGGCACATCTATATTAAGGAGTATAATCACCTTTACTTAGAGTTTACAAATATAAATTTTAATTTTATCCAAAAATACCATCATAGAAACATCCAGCATAATATTTGACCAAACATCCATTACTGTGGCCCAGCCAAGTTGACACATGAAATAACCATCCTGTACAAATGAGTAAACAGAGGTGCACGTTGATGTGGAACAAGTTATTTCAAGCTTTTTTTCCCCTCCCAGTTTTATGCTTATATAAAATAAATATGTTGTCCATCTTAAATTTTCTAGTACATTCATTGTCTTCTGATTTTTATGCTTTTTGTTGAAAATATTCATGCAGCATATTATACAGGCCATACAAATGGTTTACTTTAAATCAGACTCTTAAGTATTAAAAATTTGGACTTGTGGCCCTCCCTGGTGGCGCAGCGGGTTAAAGCATAGCACTGAGAAGCTAAGGCCACTTCTGCATGAGTTCGATCCCCACCTGCCCCAGAGGTGACCCACACGGTGTGACAGACCTCTCCTGACCTGCCCACTGCTCCCCTCAGCAGTGTACCTCGTCCATCTGCCTGTTCTGTTCCCCACTCTGTCTCTGGTGAAGCCTCTCACCACCCCTGAGCCTCTGGCCTGTATCCCAGTTCTGTATGAATAAAATAAATCTTTAAAAAAAAAAAATTTGGACTTGTAACATATTCCTTAAGAAACTTACGAGAAGCTAAAATAGTAGTTAATGTGGCTGACTTAATTGCCATTATTTTTATTGTGTCTGTATGATTATTAATGTGATTATCAAGTCTGTATGATTATTAATGTGTTAAATTTTTAAAAATCTGATATCCAAATTTCATATTACTGCAATGGCTTTGTCATAGTGGTAGTTCCCATGAAACAATGATGTACTTAGAGTTGTACTTTCTTTCAAAAAAGATATATTTACATTGTATATGTATTACATATATTTACATTATATGTGTGTAATTATATTACATATATTCGTAGATATTATTAATGAAGTACCACTATTTAAAATTTTTTCATAGCATCGATTTCTTCTCTTAGGTGTGGTCACCATAGTTCTCCCACTACCAAAGCACCTACAGTCCTCCATCTGCATTGTCCCCTCCTCTCCCATTTTTTTTTCCTTCCCCTTTTATTCTCCCTTCTATGCCTTCCTAGATGCCTCAGATCTGTGTTCAGCTTTCAAGAGTTGGTTTGAAAGTTCGTCTTTGTTTGGTTTCTCTATAGTCTACATATAAGTGAAACTATCCAATATTTATATTTCTCCTTCCGGCTTACTACACTTAGGAAAATCCCTTCCAGATCTGACCATGTGACCACAAATAGCATGACTTTATCTTTTTTGAATGCTGAGTGTGTATACATACCACATCTTAATTCATTGACCTGTGGTGGTAGGTTTTTTTCTATATCTTGTGTTCTGCAAATAATGAAGCTGTAAACATGGGTATCCCGCTTTACTTTTGAATTAGTGTTTTTGTGCTTTCTTACTTTAAATTAAAGATTTGTGCAGTCCAGAGGTGCATGGAGTGAGTGGATTCACCAGAGACAGAGTGGAGAGCAGAATACACAGATTGACTGAAACACACTGCTGAGGGGAGCAGAGGGTGGGTCAGGAGAGGTCTGCCACGCCATGTGGGTCAGCTACCAGGCCAGTGATCAAACTCATGCTGCAGTGACTGCCAACAGCCTCATATTGCTGTGCTTTTAACCTGTTGCACCACCAGGGAGGGCCTGTTTTTGTGCTCTTTGAACAGATACCTAGGGGTGGAATTGGTAGGTCATATAATAGATATACTTTTAGTCCTTTGAGGAGTCTCTACACTTCTTTCCACAGGGGCTCATGCAGGGGCTCACCAACAATATCAGAAAGCTCCATTTTCTTCAGACCCTCACCAGCACTTGTATCTGTTTTTTTGTTTGCTTTAATATGAGCCATTCTTACAGAGGTGAAGTGGTATCTCATTGTGGTTTTGATTACATTTTCCTAATGATAAGTGATGATGAATGCTTTTTTCATATGCTTCTTGACCATGTAGTTTTTCTGCTCATTTTTTATTA